TGACTGCAATAAGTGACACCAGTGATCCCACAATCTTCAGGTATATCTGACTGTACTCAGTGCAGGGTTTAAAATGGTAATGATGCCATTACATGACACAGATCATCTACTCATACACTTGTACATCATGTTTCTGAGCACAGAAGTGTGTGTTTGTGTGTGTTTGTGTGTGTGTGTGTACAGCAACATTTACAAACGTAGGGCTAGCAGTACTCCATCTAGGTAGTTTGTGTAGTAGCCTCATAGCATCATTGTGTGCTACGTAACGTTTCTGCATGCTGCCTGTTTTGTTGCCACATATGGCCAGTGTACATTGGAGTACAAAAGGCTTTAAAAAGAGCCATTTTCACAGGAGAGCACATTTTCTAATCAGCTTATTAGCCTGTGCATACATCATACAATACTGCCTATAAATGTCCCAATCATCAGACAGATCATCACTCATGTAGTGCCCTAAATGTTTAACATCATTACACACATTAAGAACAGCACCAGACCAGAAGTCACATGTTTGTCTGCCTTACTTCTAACAATCATAATGTTGCTCTTCTTGGCATTATACTTTAAATCAAAGTCATAACCTTTAACAACTGTTGAAGGTCAGCACTGTATGACATAAGACCACCAGGTCATCCTCACACATCAGGTGGTTGATTATACATTCACCTACTACACAACCTGTTTTACAACAATTCAAAGCTTTGACAGTTCATCCCTATAGATGTTGAAGAGGTAATGGGACAGTATACTTCCCTGCTTGACTCATTACCAACAATAAACCCATCACACACAGTATTCGCCCATTTCACATACTGGTGCCCATACCAATAAACAAGGATTGTAACTAGATATGCTGGTGGTACTCTGTTTATGTAGCTGATGGAAAAGCTTTTGGTGATTCACATGGTCAAATGCTTCAGAGGCATCAATAAAACACAAGAATAYTGTAGTGTTGTGCCTGTTGTACAGGTCTAAGACCTTTAATACAAAGATGCATGTCTGTGCTGTGTTTAGGTTTAAAACTGAATTAGATGTCAGAGGTCAGAACATCCAACCTCTGTAATAAAATCCTTTCTAGGACTTTAGACAAACGACTAGCTAAAGCTATGGGTCGATAGTTCTCCAAGGAGCTTAACTTACCAGYTTTGTCCTTAATAATGGGAACCAGTATGATAACAACCCATGGACTAAAAACCAGTGAACACATAGGAAGTAATGGACAGAGTTTCTTACTTGCATTTTTCAAATGTTCAGCAGATATTATCTGTACCACATGTCTTCTTGTATTTTAATGTCTGATTGCATTATTTCTGGAGAGGAGACGATCACATTCTCATTACTGTGTATGTCACCCACTACAAATGTCTACTTTTGACACAATTAAACAGCTCTTGTTATGGAAATATTTATTTAACAAAGATGTGGTCCAAGAATGAAGGTACTCTGTGTGATGGTCAGCTGAGTTTTATTTGTAACAACAGGAACACAGAGAACAACGTAGACTGTGTGTCTGTGCGAGACCAGGCTTCAAATATACTGTTTAACAAACACCTTTATGTCATCTTAATAAAGCAAGATTTGATCCTAAACACATGCTGGGCAATGAAAACACAAAGATAACACAAGTGACTGTTGTTAGTGACTTTAATCATTCTGTCTGCTGATCAACAGGTTAGGTTAGTTCCACCACAGTTAGGTTAACCAGTTAGGTTAGTCCACCACAGTTAGGTTAACCAGTTAGGTTAGTCCACCACAGTTAGGTTAACCAGTTAGGTTAGTTCCACCACAGTTAGGTTAACCAGTTAGGTTAGTTCCACTACAGTTAGGTTAACCAGTTAGGTTAACCAGTTAGGTTAGTCCACCACAGTTAGGTTAACCAGTTAGGTTAGTTCCACCACAGTTAGGTTAACCAGTTAGGTTAGTTCCACTACAGTTAGGTTAACCAGTTAGGTTAACCAGTTAGGTTAGTCCACCACAGT